CTTGTCAATGATAGGACTGAGCTTACTACAGAAGGATGTCCTGAATACCTGAGAGATCCCCTTCATAGCCCGATTGAAGAGATGGTGCTCAATAGGGAAGGATGTCTTGATACAGAAGACTGCAGTGGCTGTAATGGTGCTAGTGTAAAGAGTGACCATGAAAGCTTATTGGGAAGCTTAGCTGACTGGGCAGTTAGGTTTGGGGTGCCTTTGGTGGCTCTGTCAGCCTTAGTGGTAATTCTCAGGATTCACTTTCTGTTCCTGCCAAAAGATGGAAGGTCACTGCTGAAAACAAAGACTGACTACAAAGTGGAGATGCTTGCTGGTGGCTCATTTCACTATTTCGGTTTAGTGAATGCTGTTCGAAAAAAGTTCACTAGGTTATTCTCCTCTTTTCCAGAAGGCTCTGTATTTCAGTTGCAGCTAAATTTTGATGGATTGCCTCTTTTTAAAAGCTCATCCATTCAGTTTTGGCCCATTCTGGGCAAATTACCAAGACTCTCCAAGAAGCCTTTTGTGATAGCGTTGTTTTATAGGACAGCAAAGCCAGAAACACTGTCTGACTACTTAAAACACTTAGTTCAAGAGTTGAAAAGCTTGAGTACTGGTTTTGTTTTTGAAGGCAAGACATTTTTTGTGAAAGTTTGTTCTGTGATTTGTGATGCTCCAGCAAGAGCATTTATTAAAGGTATCAAGTCCCACACTGGATATTATGGTTGTGATAAGTGCTTATAAAGAGGAATGTACACAAATCACCGTATGACGTTTCCTGAGGCTACTGCAACTTGCAGAACAGATGAATCTTTTAGATTAGGAACGGATGAAGATCACCACATTATTCATTGTCCTCTGGTAGATACTGGCATTGATATGGTCGCTGGTTTTCCCCATGATTACATGCACCTAGTGTGTTTGGGTGTTAAGAGGCGGCTTCTTGAACTGTGGGTTGGTACAGCTGGTTCTTTGCGTACTAAAATTTCGTCTCATCAGGCATCCTTAATCTCCGATAGATTATTGGTGTTGGCACATCATATTCCATCTGAATTTGTCAGGAAACTTCGGTCACTCAGTGAGAGACTGAGGTGGAAAGCAACAGAGCTTTGCTAATTTTTGCTGTTCACGGGTCCTATTGTTTTGGGAGATGTGTTGCTGCCTCAAGTGTATGATAACTTCATGCTTCTCTCTGTTGCTGTCTACATCTTGGTTAGCCCACAGTATTGTTTGCAAATGAATGAATTGGCTCATCACTTTCTTGTCTCATTTGTGGAGCATTTCGGCTTGCTTTATGGTAAAGACCAAGTAGTGTACAATGTTCACGGATTAGTGCATCTTGCTGGTGATGTAAAGGTACACGGCCATTTAGAGAGTTTCTCTGGGTTCCCTTATGAGACTTTATTGGGTGAGCTTAAGAGAATGATAAGGAAGGCTGACAGTCCTCTAGCACAGGTTATCCGCAGGTTTTCTGAACAGGAACAGAGAAGTTGTGTTTTTGATTCACTCATTGTTCAGGAGACCTCTTTAAAATATCCACATCAAGATGGGCCAGTACCAGAGTGGGTGTTGGGAAACGTCAGTCAGTTCAAGCAGTTGGCAGCTGATGGTGTCATTCTGAAAACATCAAGTAAAGATGACTGCATTGTCACAAAACATAGTTGTTCATGAAGACAGAGAGTATGACATGTACCAGGAGTACAGAGTTAAAGGAGCACTTTACAGTTACCCCCTCGATTCAATGGAGCTGGGAATGTCTTGTATCCCACTTGTCCCCTGTGATGCACTGTGTAGAGATTGTTAAGCCTGTGCAAAAGTGTGTGCGGTTGCCCCTGGGAGACTAGTTTGCAGTGTTCCCTCTTCCTCATACAAATTAATCCCATGTACTTGTTTAGTCTTTGTACATAGTTAGACATAGTTGTTAGTTTGTAGCATATTCTCTTTTTTAAGTGTTTTTTTGTTCTTCATAAATTTAGATTATTACTGGCTCGTGTACATTAATTTGGTAAGTGCAGTTGTTTGTCATAATGTCATTAATAAGTTGTGCCACATGTTTTCAATCTTTGTAATCAGTTTACTTTTGTCCCTCATCTTGTACCAGGAGATGTTTCACATTGTTATATTTGAATCCACAAATGAAGTGGAAGTGGTGCCTGAAATTTGGGTAAAGAAGAACACTTGTTTGTGGCCACCGTACAAACGGGATGACATTGTAAAAGCAGTAAGATCACAGGAACCACCTGGAGCACATTGGGTTCCATACAAAGTTCGCACAATATTAAGCAAAGGTATGAAGAAGCCATTATTTACTTATATTAGCTGTATTTAGGATTACATTTTTTTCCATTCACTCTATTCATTTTACTTTCATAGCTACATATGAGGAAGCAAGAGTGAAACTGCCAGAGGCTGAACGATTCATAGATTTGACAGATTCAGAAGACTCTCCACACAGACGCAAACGAAGAAGACTGTAAGTTGAAGAGATGGAGCACTGGAAAGGCTTGACTGAAGTCATCATTACTTCTTCCTTATTTAACTTTTCTTGTAATACAGGAAGAAGAATCCATTCCTTCAAGATAACGAGGAGAGTGAAGATGAGAGGCAGGAAACATCCTCACTACCCAGCCCTCCAAGAATGGGCACTGCAAAGATGCTGCCACACCCGCGCCCCGCTGCTTTCACGATGTATGAACACATATTATTGTCCATTTAAGCGTCATTTTTTTCATTGTTGAATAATTAGTTTGAATAATAACCCTCTCTCCCCTGCTCTCTCCCTCCCTCTCCCCCTTCCTCCTTCTCTCTCCCCCTTATTCCCCTCTCCCCCTCTCTCCCTCCCTCTCCCCCTCTCCCCCCGCTCTCTCCCCCTCCCTCCCTCGCTCTCTCCCTCCCTCTCCTCCCAGCTCTCTCCTTCCCTCCCTCGCTCTCTCCCTTGCTCTCTCCCTTGTTGACAGTGTTTGAAATTTAAACTCTGATGCTGTCTTGTTCTCTTGTTTGCAGTGATTAATTCAAGAAACAAAGCCACACCAACCAGTGCCCGAAATGCAGACTTCAGTGAATGTGAGCGAGTAACTAGCCTTGCACAGCCTTCCTAAATTTTGTGAGCTCAGTGTTCGCTATGAGACACTCTTTAAAACGTGCAGTGAGAATTTACAGTCACTGGCTGATCCAGTTGCTGCATCATATTTTGGAATTGAAAGTATCCCTCTGACTGGTTAAAGACTGAATAAATTGAGTTCAAAATAATAATTGTGTTGAATAAAGGCTACTAGGAGTCAGATAAATCATCTTAGTTGGGTATATATAAGGATGTGTTGGCACATTCTCAGGTCAAAGTGACAAAGGCTAGGCTTTTATTGAGAGAAGAGACCGTCATGGAGCTGATTACATTAAGTATGATCAGTTTTTGTACAGAATAGCGATTGTGTTATGTAGTACTTAGTGGTAGACACAGTATCTTAAAGACAGTAGGATACAAAGAGATATGTTAATACAAACAGGTAGGGTCCCGAGTGGTGTGTGACTAACATGACAGTTAGAGGACACAGAAATTGTAGAAGACCCAGCTGTACTTTTTCACAGCAGATTGTCTATAACCATTCAGCACCCCTTAACCAGTGAAATGGTTCCAGACCACTGGACACCACATTAAGCAAAATAAAATTGGCAGGCTGACTGTGCAAGACTAAAATGAGGCTAGATCTACATTTTTGTTTTTAATGCGTACAGCTCAAATAAATACAGACAATGTCTTTTGATCTCTTTGTCTTAGCTGTGATACGAAACCTCCTGACCAATCAAGAAATCATCAAAGAACAGATGGACATACTGGTGAAGCTGGTTTATGAATTAAAGGGGAACACAGAAGAGAGCCCATCTCTACCACCAGAATCTCTACCAATTGCAACCCTTGAAGATCTGCAGGTTTTGGAGGGGCAGCTCCAAGATAATGTATATTTGTATAATAATTTTAGGGATATAACAGTATACAGATATCATGCTTCACCTCACACCATGGTTTGGACATCATGGTTTGGTATGTGTTCAGCACAACTGGAAAAAAAGCAACAAAAACTCTCAAATGCATATGGCTATACAGTTGCATGAGGCGTCGAAAGTTATATTCTTTTTTCAGTACTACAACATGGCAAAAGATTTGATTCTGTAACAATTGATGCTTTCAATACTGTATATAATCTAAGGAACTGAATCTGAAGTTCTAGCTTCTACAGCCAAAAAATGCAGTATTTGTTGAGTATGGATGTAACAAAATGCCAAATGGCTATTTGTTGGCTATATTAAGCACTGTTGGGGTGTGGGAGACAGTAAAGTTCTACGTAGCGCACTATGTAGGGAACAGGAAGCCCCATTGTGGGAAGAGGGGCACCATTAGATTGGTGCTAAATAAGTCTTGCGGTGGTTATTTGGTTACTTAAATGGTACTTATAAAGAGAAAGTTTTTGCATTAAACAGGGCTATGTTATATGTTCATTGTTATACAACAGATTAATTTAAATTGAAAAGTTCATGAAATGACCACAATATACAGTTAATCCCAAATTATTCATACACATGCCAAATTTTGAATTATAGTGCATTTTGATTTGACCAGTAGGTTTCTTCTAGAAATGACATAAACAGGTGACAAAAGGTGGTAAGACATTGTGCTAGAGATATACACCAATCGGGCATAACATGACCACCTCTTTGTTTCTACATTCATTGTCCATTTTATCAGCTCCACTTACTATATAGGTGCACTTTGTAGTTCTACAATTACAGACCATCTGTTTCTCTGCATACTTTGTTAGCCCCCTTTTACCCTGTTCTTCAGTGGTCAGGACCCCCATGGACCCTCACAGAGCAGGTATTATTTGGGTAGTGGATCATTCTCAGCACTTCAGTAACACTGATGTGGTGGTGGTGTGTTAGTGTGTGTTGCGCTGGTCTGAGTGGATCAGACACAGCAGTGCTGCTGGAGTTTTTAAACACCTCAGTGTCACTGCTGGACTGAGAATAGTCCACCAACCAGAAATATCCAGCCAATAGTGTCCTGTGGGCAGCATCCTTTGACAACTGATGAAGGACTAGAGGATGACCAACACAATCTGTGCAGCATCAGATGAGCTATCTCTGACTTTACATCTACAAAGTGGACTGACAAGGTAGGAGTGTCTAATAGAGTGGACAGTGAGTGGACAGTGTTTAAAAACTCTAAAAGATTGCTGTAGTGTCGTCAGGCTCAGGCTACAGAACACAGCAAATCGAGTTTGACAGGATTGCACTTGCTTTCGTTCTTTTGAGATTAGTTTATAATGTGTCTGCTCAGCTCATTTGTTGTCTTGATACATTAGTATTCCATTAATCAAATCAGGAGGTCTAATAAACAAAACATCAGCAAGCCAAATACAGGTCAAATAAACCCCTTTACATCCCAGGCTTTTTACATACAAAAGCATATTATTCAGTAACTACAGGGACTTCAATGCAAAACGGCTGAGTATTCTCAAGTTATAGAAGTGTGAAACTTGGGTGGCCTGTTAAGGGGTTGATGGGCCCATGGAAAAGTGAATTTCCATTACTTTTTGTTAAATAGAAGATGTAGTATGTAAAATTAAAGACATGTCACTCACTCCCCAGTCTATACAGTTCTCATACAGCAGAGATAAACTGTGACTAGTAGAGCTAGACCTTTACTTCAGGCCATAAAATTCAAAACTCAAAACATTAGGAAAAAAAACAATTCTACGATAAAGCTAACTTCTGCTAGCGTCCCTTTAGGATTCTAGTGCTATGTTAGCACTAAGCTAAATGCGATTCACAACTTTTTTGTCAGTTCTAGGTTGTAAACAGACATTTGAAGGTTCTAAAAGATATTGCATGCATTACTTGAAGTTTGTGACAGACATACAGTATTAGCCTATAGTTTACCAGTTTCACATTGACTCTTATGCACACCTAAGGAACTCTGGGTCTAAAAGGAATTTCTCTGTGAGAAAAATGAATGGAGTTTTTGAAAACTGCCTCCGTTGCATCCTGTGGTAATCAAAAATGTTCCAAAGCTGATACATTCTGTCCATCAACTTTTTTTCTCAAATATTACTGGATCTTCTGAATTACGAGGTCGTTAAAGAGTTGAAATGTAATTCTTTCTACATGTAAGCTAATGCTACTGCACACTGAATTGACATTATAAGACTGGCAGCCTCCTCAAAAAACTGTGCAACTTGTACGCTTTGCCAGTGTGGTAGCCCTATAAGCCTACACTGCTCAACAGGACTAGACTGAAAGTTGTTTTCACCTCTTTTAATACCCTTCTGGTCATCCTTGATGAAGGCTGACACACCACAAAGTGATAATACCACCATAGCCCATGTTTTAACAATTTATGCTACCCATCAAGCGGTCCTACAGAGCATTCGCATATCATTACCACAGCATAGTAAATCAGTGTTTTAAATGTTTTTTGTGTGTGTTTTTAATGTATATTCAGTACAGACTCTGCTTAATGTCACTACATATCCCTTGTTAAGCTAATTTAGGCTATCACAATATCCTCATTATCCTTTTGATGCTGGTGACATTTTCTGATAAAGACATTCACCAGCTTAATGTTTGAATGTTCCTGTTCCACCTTCATTGGTGCAGCAGTTACATTCTGGTGCCTAAGTTGTTATAATAATAAATGCTGCACCATTTAAAGTCAAAAATTTCAAACAAGAGGCTGATAAATAAGAACTTGACTTCAGCTTCGACCCAGAGTTCCAAATATGAGCATAACGGCAACTACAGAATAACACACGACTTCAGTGGTCTTTAGAGGCGGGGCTGCTGTTTTCCGGTGCTAACTACCCATTGGTAACTCTGCTGCTCATAATCACAGTCTGTGATGTGGGTAGGGCTCTCACAGATGTATGCCATGTGCACTAATGCACCCCTATGTCATCATGAATACTGGCTTTTGAACTGTGCACTGATAACAAGCTGAGTGGTCTTTGGCCCGGAGGACACAGTGTCCATCATTTCCAAAAAGAAATTCAAATGTTGATTCATCAGACCACAGGACACTTTTCCTTCAGTCCATTAAATGAGAGCTCGGGCCCAGAGAAGGTGGCAGTATTTCTGGATCCTGTTTATATTTGATTTCTTCTTTGCATTTTAGAGTTTTAACTTGCGTGCAGTGATGAACTGTTTTCACAGATAGTGGTTTTCAGAAGTGTTTCTGAGCCCATGCAGTGATTTTCACTGCAGAATCATGTCTGTTTTTAATGCAGTGCCACCTGAGGGCCCAAAGATCATGGCCAGCAAATACTGGTTTTAGGCCTTCTCCCTTGCATACAGAGATTTCTCCAGATTCTCTGAATCTTCTGATGTTATTATGTACCGTAGATGATGAAAAGCAAAAGTTCTTTGCTATTTTGTGTTGAGAAACATTATTCTTGAATTGTTGCACTATTTGCCAAAACAGTCTTTCTCAGAGTGTTGAACCCTCCTAATCTTTATTTCTGAAAGACTCTCTGGGATGCTTTTTTATACCCATTCATGTTACTGACCTGTTGCCAATCAACCACCAGGTGTAGCATGACACAATGTTACCAACCTTTTGTTGGCCACCTCCCAACTTTTTTAGAATGTGTTGTTGGCATCAAATTCAAAATGAGCATATATTTTTCAAGAAAACAATCAAATTTCTCAGTTTCAACATTTAATATGTTGTCTTTGTACTATTTTCAAATAAATATAGGGGTTATAAGATTTGAACATCATTGCATTTTGTTTTTATTTACATTTTGCACAGTTGAGTTGGATGTTTGCATCACATGAATTCTGATCTGGTTGTTCAGACAGAGTCCCATTACTGCAATTCGGATACATATCGGATTTCAATGTCAGATTCAATATGTTTTTTGGATTTTTTTTTCCCCGTTTACACTGCCACACAGATAACACATCTGTGTCATATATAACAGAAAAGAACGGATTTGGGCCACTTTAATCTGTGCGAACGTAGCCTATAACACTTCACTGTGTAAGCAGACCCTCTGCACTGCCAGCTTGAGTCATTTGTTTATTAGTATGGCAGCATATACTATGCTTATGTCACATGGTATCAGCTGGTACCAGACGTTGGTATCTGTAAATCTGTATGAGTAAGAGTACAAGTAATTGGATTGATGAAGCCCTACTACAGACTGCAGTTACATTAAACCCCTTGGTTTTACAAAGGATTTAGGTAATTTTGAATAATCTTTGCTTAAAATTCTGCAAAAATCCAGTTTCATTAAAAATAAGGCAGCTTTTAAAATATTATAAAACATTGAAATCAAGATGTTATCAGGGAACTCCACTGCAGTGTCGAAAAACACCTCCCCAGATACGCATAGAATAAGTATTGTGTAATTTTACTGTTTCAGTTTCGAATAACATTTTCCCAAATGTAAGAATAAATAAAGTTTTATTACATATTATATTCAGGTTTTCATAAAATATTAAAATCAAGCTTTTAACAGGGAACTTCACTGCAATACCAAATTCAGACTGTGAAATTACATGAATTGCATTCTCTGGAGGTGTTCTTCAACAATGCAGTGTAGTCTTCTGCTAACAGTTTGATTCCTTCCGTTTATAGAATGTTTTAACATGGGCATAAATGTATTTAACTTTCCCAAGCATTGCAGAGGTCTTGTTCAGAATTTAAATAGCAAAATAAAATGTAGCTCATAACCCGTGTATGTCAGAAAGTGTTTTTAAACATTGCAGTGGAGGTTTCTGATAACAGTGTAATTTTCTTCCTTTGTTGGAGTTTTATTTAAGTTGGCTGTTTAATTTTTATGGCATATTAAATAATGCCATATACCTCATGAAATTCAAGTGTAGAGAGCGTGACCAGGCTTGGAATTTTTTGCAAGAGAATGCAAATCATTTGCAAGGGAACGCAATGTCAGTACTATTTTTTTTTTGTTTGTTTTCTTTTTTAACCATTACCCCTAAGGGGCTCCGTACTGTTCCACAATCCTCGTATTTTATACTTAACTTTAAGGCCACTATACATGCCAATTAAACACCTTGAAACTAAGAAGGCCCTCAGTACGTAATTATTTAAATATCTGCTGTGCAATGCCATCCTATCACATGCAAGGAATTCAACCATGAAAAAAATAAGAGCTACAGGCACCTCTTGCACATTTGATTAAACCACACTCTCACTCACACACACACACACACACACACACACACACACACACACACACATACACACACACACTTCTTTTGATGCTCTACTTGCACTATCTGGAACATTGCTGCTATACTGTGTTTACACTGTTTTACTACCTCAGAAACTGCTTTGGTTATGTTTGTTATCTGACTACGTAACTCACAGATCACAGCATGTTAAATATGTCTGCACCTTATTACACTACCTCATGTCCAGAATGTGTGCTGTGTCGGTGCTGCACTGTCCGGTCTGTTTACTGTGTCTAATGTCTGTTTAATTTATCTTATTTATTGTATTGTTTCTAGCTTAGTTTTTGTTTGCACACTATGTCTGCACGTTCACACTTTGTACTTTTTGTTCCTTGTTGCACCTTGTTGTTCCTGGAGGAACGTAATTTCACTCCACTGTGTACTTGTACATGGATGGAATGACAATAAAAGCCTCTTGAATTGACTTGACTAAATCAAAGACTGCAACATAACTTAGAGGAAGATTTGTGTTTAGCTGCCCAGAATGGCTTGGATAGAGTTTAACAATGCTTTACATGAACTGATAAAGGTGAAAAAATAACTAATACACCTGTTTGTTTACTTTGCAGGTGGAGAATACAGAGACCCCTTAATGGACTTCTCGACTTTTTTCATTTTTTGTTCATTCACTTGAATTGATTTATAATACTAGTAATAATAAACATTTATTAAATCGATTATGCTTGCATTGATTTTGCCTTAGTTTATATCAGTATTATCATAGTAATTGGAATTGTTTGAATTAGACTATCACCAACGAATGGGAATGTGGATGGGAGGGACTGATATTAACTACAGACTGAGAAAATGTTAATGGAATGTTAAAGTAACATAAAAAAAAATCTGAACTTTTGACGCTGTGTACTGCTGACTGCACAAAAATATCGGGAAGATGCTTTAGGGTATGTTTTACTAACTTGCACTGAATGTCCTAAGAAAATTAAGAAAACTGGAACTATAAACCTTTGAAGAACGTATAAAGATAACATTCCAGGAATGTTCAGTGGTCAGTGTATATAAAGCTGAGGTGATAATCTGGGACAGTGGTTTTAAGAAACATGTTAAGGAAACATAAAAATTGCCTTTTTTAAATTTAGCAACAATATCATCATAATTAATGTTATAGGAATGTTTTCACGTTCTCAGAACATTGCAAGACCACATTCCTAGAATGTTAAATTGTTGCCAATGAGGTTGGGTTGATGTTTAGGGAACATTCTTGTAACCTGAATGTTTTGGGAACGTTAAGAAAACTGGACAGATTCATGGGGGAACAGTCCAATAAAACATTCATACAACCAAAATGGAATGTTAGAGGAACGTTTAGAGAACATAAATTTGAATGTTGTCAGAACGTTCCAAGACAACATTCCTAGAATGTTAAACTGTTGTTGCAAATGAGGTTGAGGTGACGTTCTGGGAACATTCACATAACTTAAGAAAAACGTTCTGAGAACAGTAAGAAAACTGCACAGAATAACATTGAGGGAACGTTCCAATAAAACGTTCATACAACCAAAATGGAATGTTAGAGGAACGTTTAGAGAATATAATTTTGAACGTTGTCAGAATGTTCCAAGACAACGTTCCTAGAATGTTAAATAATTGTTGCAAATAAGGTTGAGGTGACGTTATAGGAACGTTTTCATAACTTATAAAGAATGTTCTGAGAACATTAAGAAAACTGGACAAAATAACATTGAGGGAACATTCCAATGCAACGTTCCCACAACCAAAATGGAACGTTAGGGGAACGTTCTGAGAACGTAATTTTGTTAGCCAGGATATAACGGACTATGGTTGCAAAACACATTTGTATCTTACAACAGAGAATTATACTGAATTAACTTTGCTTGTATAAAATCAAGATTGACAGCTTAAATATTTTGAAAATTATTTTCGCAAAAACCAAAATGTGTTAGGTTGTGTCCTGCTCTCCCCTACTGGTAGGTGCCTGGTGAACATTTATGTATAAAGAGTTCCAGAGTTCTAGACAGACACATGTGAGGTAGGAAATAACTTATTTTATGTTTCCTACAGGACAGAAAGCTGTTTTAGTGATTATCAATGTGTGATTCCTGACTTATTCTATTAAATTACCATTCAACCCGTCGATGATGCTGCATAGCCAGTTGTTTGTTTCTTCCCAGCAAACACACATAATTGTCATAACACTGCCTATTTTCTTACCATGTTGCTATAACACTGTCAAAAGGTGGTGCTGTTTACATTGTCAGAACATGGTTGTCCCAATGTTGTCACAACCTCATCATTCAATAATGTTGCCATATGGTGTTGTGACTACCTGTTGGCAACTTAGCAAAATGTTGGTGAGAACGTTGCAGCCACCAAAACAATAGCTTGTCACAACATTGTCCCAACGTAACTGTGTATGCTGTGTTTAGGCCCTGACATCTACCTCTACAGATCTATAATTACATATCATTTATGAAACTTTAAATATTAACTCTGTGCTTTTTAATAACATGACTCAGTGGTAGCATGTACAATGAAAATAAAAATAGGCCTAGAACAGAACCCTGTGGTACACCATAAAGAATATCATGTTGCCCAGAAAACTGTTTACCCACACTAGTTCTCAGGTAACCTGCAAGAGGATCCTACCGCTTCTGCTGTCACATTTGTATCAACAACTCACTCTCTACCCCACTCTATACACTATATAGCCAGCTAGAAGCATGTCTGTCTTCTTTTACACATCCAAAATCAGGATTCCTTCCATCTTCATCAACCGTTCAGTCCTCTGCCCTACCCTGCCAAGGATTGTCTTTTTTACTGCTTCATAGCACCACTACTGGAATGTGTGTCATCTTGAGAACAAAATAAGCTACACTAAGTGACTGCTATAAAACAAAAGAATGAAGCGCCATAAAATGAGAAAGAAAATGCACGTCTTTGGAGAGTGTCAGGAGAATATCAGTCCAACATGCTGTTCACTCTTTGACCTACTTACCTTTGAAGTGGTTGGGGAAACTAATTTGTGCTGTAAAACAAACTGGAGTTCTTGTTCATTCTTGAGGACAATGACCACAACATCGATACTCCTTCACATATGCTTTACAAAAAAAATTACTTACTGGAGTCTTACATACATACATCATCTAAACCGCTTATCCTTCTGGGTCGCAGTGGGGTGCTGGAGCCTATCCCAGCTGTCATTGGGCGGAAGGCAGGATACACCCTGGACAGGTCGCCAGTCCATCGCAGGGCATACTGGAGTCTTTCCCCTCTTAAAAATAAAGGTGCCAAAAGGAGCCCTAGAAGAACCACTTTTGGTTCCCTAAAGGATCTTTTCAGTGGCTAGTGTTTTTAAAAAACCCTTTTTAAAGATCACAGAACCTCCACACAATGTAAAGTTTCAATCAAAAATGTACCAGATCTCAGTGGCAAACTGTGAATATTAGAGCTGGACCTTCAGTTTGGACCATACATCTCAAGATTCTGTCAAAAACAAAGATAAAAACATTTTTGATATTATTAATTTCTGCTAGTGCCCCTGTGTGATTATGTTAGTATGTTAGAGCTAAGATAACGACAGTTCACATGAACATTTTTAGCCATTCTGGATTAAACACAAACACCTGAAACTTGTAAAAAAAAACTTTGCATGTTTTGTTTAAAGCTTAGTAACAAACATACAGTTTTATGTTAGCGGTTAATCTGATGTGTAAGGCCTTCAGTCCAGTCCTAACCAGCGTGAAAGCTCGCTTAGCGCTATATTGCATACCACGGAGAAAAACAATACTGATCAGACTATTTTCTGTTGGCCATTTTAAAAAACAATGAAAACGATTGCAGAAATCATTACGCCTTCTCTAAAGTATGTGAATTGTTATATATGAACTGACCAGCCCTTTTTTATTTTTTTTAATCAAGCCTTATTTCACAAAAGCAATAATAAACATCTGAAATACAACCAGGGTCTTACACATCTGATTTGTAAAAATGGTTCTTTAAAGTATAAACGTGTTTTTTCTATGGCATCAGAGGACCTTAACTGTTAGGCGTGCAGAGCATAACAGGAATTGAGCAATAAAACAAGACCTTTACGTCACTTTTTTTTTCAAGTTTATGAGGCAGTCGTTTATGTTCTTGTGGCTTATATGTTGCCACCAGATGGACTGGAGAGTGAAACCTGTGCATCTTCTCCTGAACACTTCATTGTAGCTTTGATAGGTTCTAATAACAACTGAAAAGCCAGGAATGATCAAAGAGCTCACTTTAAACTATGATGCGGTTAATGAAACCAACACATTCACGAATGGCAACATTGTTCAGGGGCGAGTTTTTTTGGAAGTGATCAAAGAAGTAAAGATCAGCTTTTTTTACATAAAGTGTAAAGGAGATGCAGACGTGAACTGGTCAACAGGGGGTGAGGATGGGCACTCATACCATGCTCATGAGAGATACTTCAAACTGAAGCAGATTTTCATCCAGAAGGACTCTAAGCAGGGTAAGAATTAAATATGTAAGTACAGTCTGTTTATTTTACATCCAGTTCCAGCCTCATGCTCTGTGGAAATAAACGTGTGTGGATTTCAGGGGAGTCAGTTTACAAAAACCACAGGGAAAAAAAACAAATTATGCTACATAATGTACAGTAAATCTGAATGCACATTTATACTGAAGACTTATCTTTTCTGTCTTTCTTAAAATAAGTTACTGCTCTTTGTCTTTTTATTGTATTCATATTTCCAGGTGGTAATGTGGTTAGACAAGGAAGCCATGTCTTTCCATTTAGCTTTCAGCTGCCCAGTTGGTGAGTAGTGATTCTCAGTCTTTTGCTTTGTCTTTCAGAGAAGGTTCTTGGTTTTGTTCTGTAAAGTATATGTTCATTTAGCCTTTCAGCTTTCAGGTTGCTAGCTCAACTAAAGCGGCTCAAGTACATGATATTGGTCACATGAGACCTTGCGTAACTAAAATATGCCTTCTTTTATTTCTTTACAATCACAATTTTCAAAATATTTTGGGTGTGGTAGTCAGATAACGTCTTTTCCAGACTGGCCTTGAATGTAGACACAGGAAAGCGTATTCTTCAGTTAAAATCTGAAACTGTGACTCATTTCATTCATATGACTCAGGGCGTTGATATCAAGTGTTGTTATAATACTAAGAGTTGAATGAACAGTGGTGATGGGCTTTTTGGTTCTGGTATGTGTCCACTCACAGAACACTCTAACACTACTATTTTCTGGAGGTGCAGGAAAATAATAAACAAAACTAATAATACTAAATGCCCAATAAAATAAAAGATATTATGTATTGGCTGGATAATGTAAAAAATGCCCAGGCATGTAATAACATACTACATTATCATTAATTAAAGGCCAAGACATTGTACTGCATTGTTAGAGCATTTATTACATTATTGAGTTAAATATTTTGTGGTACATTTCGGGAGTTTGTTATTGGTAAATTATACAACAGTTAGTTCCGGCCATGCAACCTGATTGGTTGAGAAGCGTTCTAACTGTGCTGTTAGTTTGCCATAACAGCACGGATTTTTCACAAACACTGAATCACTCCGATTTCAATAGCTTTAGGAACTTTAGGAACATTTGAACATTTTTACTTCTTACTTTGTGCACAAACAGAAAACAGATACTTTTGAGATAAAATTTGACCTACAGCCGATTTGGTCAGACTCTGAATATGAGACTACACTAAATTCCGAAACTGTCATTACAACTGAGCAAGCTTTTCAGTGAGCAGCTGTAACAGAACAACACCTACACAACCTGGAATTAGCCAGAAATGAACTGAATACTCTTTGCCAAACAAAATGCTTTTTTTAATCTGTAAGATGCTTTACAGATTGGCTGGAACAAAACAACATTAATATTGATCTAGCAAAATTGACAAAACTGAGCTAAACTTGATATTGCGGCAGTTTTATGGCTCAGTCCGATTTGGTCAGACTCTGAAGATTAGACTACATTTTTTTCAGTTTTTGACATAATTTGAAAATGCCTTTTGTCCTTTACATTGTGCGTAAATGGACCAAAGGAAATGGGCCAAAGACTTGAAAAAAAGTCTCCTGTTAAAGTTATCATTTTGGAGAAATGAGGTCTTCTTTCGACAACAGCGATATATATGCATGCACCTTTTAAACCATTGAGACAAGCTAGTGACAGAGAAACTTGTCCAAAGTACTTATATTGTAAGTAAAAGGTGAGCTTTATCTTTGTTGTAGCATCATAGTTCATAGTTCTGTAGGCATCGTTTTTCAAAACTACAAATATGATGGATCTTTAATCAAGTCAAACTGTTAGAAACATAAAAATGTGTGTTATTTTCTTTATTGCAGGAATTTACCACCATCATTTGAAGGAAGCTATGGCTCGATTAAGTACGTACTGGAAGTCAGACTGTATCATTTGTCGGGGAAGAACTGCACTGTGAAAACAAAACTCACTTCTGTACCGAGGATCAGTAGCGGTGGTGCTCTTTTAATGGTATGTCTTTGTGTGAAGTGTGTATGTTTTGTTTATGCTGGTCCTGTAGTCCTTCTGACTTACTTACTTACTGAATCTAGAGAAGTAGTAGTTATAGCAGGTAACTCGTAATGTCTCAGCATTCCCTCTACAGAACGGCTCATTGTTTAGACCTGTTCATTCAATGGAAAAAAAACAATGTGAAACAATGTGTCAGAAGTAAAATTGAAACCTCCTTTAGCTTAAGTTAAACAGTAAACATTGTTGCTCAGGTGTGCATATGCCAAGAAGTGAAGTCTAGACTTATAAGAATAAAAAACATTGAAATTACTGAATGCTGTTTTCCCCATTTTTCTGAGATTTTCAGATTGCGTGTTCAGGTCTATACATATATATGCGTTGTGGTAATATGCATAAAAAGCAGTCAACCTATACATGGAATGACTTTTTGGGCAGCCTTCTATTTAGTATTTTAGGTATATTTCAACATTGTCTTTTTATACTTCTGTATATAGTGTCCACAGATTGCTGCTACAGAGAAAAAGATGAAAGTGTTCGGCTCCGGAAGTGCCTCAATTAGAACAACCATTGACAAAATGGGTTACATTCCAGGTATGTTTACACTATTACATAAGCATTGTTTAACTACTAGTCCTGTGCCAAAGTCCTGTTGAGTGAGGTCCTTTAGCTTGTGAGTTAAAGCTTAATCTTTGTCAAATAAAAGAACATAATAAAAGCGTAGTTCAGTAAAAGTTGTAGTTGCTTTATACTGTCATCTTTGATTTGGTCATGAAACTATAATTAATCTAGTAGGAAATAATAAAATTGGAATTGGAAAAGTCCCGTTTCACCTGAGGTGCAAGAGCCAAAACATAATTTTTTAATATTATATTTGAAACTGTGGTCTGAGGATGTCCTAAAATGTATGCCTTACCACAGGTTTTTTGTACAGGCATGATATCTGTCCGCCACACTGAGCACGTTTAACCAGAGAACATTCAATGAAGAGAAAAATATGGAGCATTTGAGCAAAATCATAGTTTGTAAATGCTTGTAACATGTAACATGTTTATATAGAAGAATGCATTCATTTCCTACACACAGTGAGCATTAAACATTAACACTGCAGTTATGTTTCTGAGCGGTTTTGAACAATTATAGGACTTTATAATGGCACCTCATGTACATTCATGATGTCAGTGAGTACGAACTATGTTGCTCAGCCAGTGAGCTGCTTTGCTCACAATCAATCAGCATTCAATAGCAATAATGCAGGCATACTACTGCCCAAAATACATTTCCTGTAGAAAAAAGGAAATATATTGATATGTTTTCTTTGCTTTTTTGGTGAAATACATCCTTCTACTTTCCAAAATGAAAGGAAGGTCCTGGATGAATGGTTAAAAACTATTTTAACTTTTGGTTTTTAGCCATTTAGCTTCATTAACCCCATTCATTGAGGATTTATAGTGATGGGCATTCTGGCTTTTTTCAGTGAGTTACATCCATCAACTCATTAATCAGCTAAGATCTACATGAAAACCAACAAAAACAAAACCAGAGACAAACTAACAACAGGTGGCATGTAATGATAATGAAGGGGTGGAACCGTTTATTTTGTCTTTATTTACCACAGAAAAAAAAGAAAAGTTAACTCCAAACGTTCACCAAAAAGAGCTGGCTCAAAGAGCTGACTCAATCACGAGCAACACATCACTAGTTTATAGAATAATGCAACAATGCTGTGTTTTGCACGAAGTAAATCAATAAATTAACGTTTTTTTAAACCAGCAGTAAACGAGTTTTTACTGTCACTATGGACTGTTACCACAGCAACTCAGTTAGTTGTCACTGGGCACAGGCCTATGTGCTACCAACAAAAGTTAAAGCACTTTTTATGAATTTTGACGGTTTTTCTTGATCTGTTCTCTTTTTCGGAAGGTGATGTCATCAAGGTTTCCGCTAATGTTGATAATTCTTCGTCTCGTGAGGTCAAGCTGGAGTTCAGTCTCAAGCAAAAACAGATCTTTACTGCAGAAGGGGCGCATACCTCTTCATCAAAAACAATTTTCAGTGTAGTTGGACGTCACATCCCATCTGGATCAAAGCAAACAATCAACACAGACCTGAAGATCCCACCTAACCTGGAACTAAGCGTCACAAACTGTACGATTATTAAAGCGGAGTACATACTCAAGGTACCAGTGTCTTATTTTCTTTCGGTCATATCACTAAATGTAATCAGCTTCTAACTACACATGCAATTTGGCCAGTGTTCCATCAGGTATATAAAGTACCGAGTAACTCTTAGAACTTCAGAGAAACTTTTTAGTCTATCCAGCATCTATCAGCACAGGAACTGAAGTTTATAAATCTCTATTATTATCTTTTCAGACTCTTTTGCTGTCAAATAAAATGCTTAAGCTCCAAACCGAGAGATTTAAGCAACAGTATTTTTACAAATGCATTAGTTATTAGTTATTATACTAGTTATTAGTTAGTCAACACTTAATATAAAAACAACATTAACTAATGCAGTTGTTACTTGTTTACTTAATATTAGCTAACCATTATTAACCCTGTACCTCATGTATTGTTCATGCTAACAAATGCCTTAGTTAAGTTAGTAAACACTTATTGTAAAGTGTTAGCTTTGCCCAGACTACTGCACTTCCTGAATTGTGTGTGGCTTAAATGTAGTGTGGAAAGGTTTTTGAATATTCTGTGTAACAAAAAGGTTTTATTTAAACTTTTGGTTATTAACGATGTGCAGGTTGTATCTTACATTCATTTATACAAACTGAGTTGCAAGTTTATTAGTTTATAATCCAGTAGCGTGCTGCATCTACTTTGGCCTTCAGAACAGCCTCGTGACATGATCAGGGGTGGAAAGAGTACTGAGAATCCCTACTTAAGTACAACTTGAATAATTTATTTGAGTTTCTTTTATGTATATTCACAATCACAAGTTATTTTGCTACGTCATTGGAAATAATCTGTAAAAAACAAAACTAAAGCCAAATATGATTATTAAAATGATATGAGTAAAAACATTTTGAGCTCTGGGATTGATCCCAGTATGCTCTACTAGTTTACATTTAGACATCTTTCTGTGTAAATTGCAAGGTTTGCATTAACTATAAAATCAACTATGACTATAATTTAAAAGTTATAATCTATAACTTTTAAAATGAATCTTTTTAAAAATATGTTTAGTTAATTTGGCAATATATTCTGAAATACATTTTAGTGTTTTGTATTTCAGCATTTATGTGTATATTATCAATGTATTTCAAATATATAAAAATATATGTTCATCTTTGACCCCTGTCATTCACAAGCTGTTTGTCCACAGGATTGCTGATCACTGGTTGATTTTTGCTTTGCTTTTTGAAGCCTAGAAAATGTTGTGGGTGAAAAACCCAGCACCACAGCCATTTAGGACATGCTAGAACTAACATGCTCAGTTGCAGTTATCATGTAGTTGCTGCTAAACATGTCACATGACCTATGACTTAAGGTAATGGTGCATCTAATAAATTGGCAACTCAGTGTAATTCACGAAGTTTTTGTACCTTTGATAAATTCAAGGTTATTCAAAGTTGTGGTTCATTTAAGAAATGCAGCTATCATTAAATCAGATTTAATGTGCCTGTTAGTCAAGGACCAAGTTTAATCTTTACTTGGAAACCAACATTTTCGGTTGCCACGATTCACTAATTGACTGCAAGTACACTCTTCTGATTTTTCTTAGGTCCGCTTGATTATCCCCTATGCTAAGGACCTAATGATGGAATTTCCATTGGTGATTCTCCATGCAAGCCAGCTTTGTACTTTGCAACCAAGTGTTCAACTGTGCGGTATTCCAGATGAATCAAGAAGGAGCAACCCTGCACCCCAGGCTGCCTTTGGGCCCAATCCTCCACCCCAGGCTGCATTTGGACCCAATCCTCCACCCCAGGCTGCATTTGGGCCCAATCCTCCACCCCAGGCTGCATCTGGCCCCATTCCTCCTGGTGCTGCCTCTGGTCCAGCTCCAGGACTTCACCCCAGCCCATACCCTTCACCTGCAAATTCACAGCCAGCCAATCCAGAATCTCCTCCTCCTTGCTATACAGACATCTACCCACAACTTAGCCATAAATTCTAAGTTTCCAGCCACCTCCATCAGCTCCATCCTTCCATCCTCCTCTATTCCCTGCTATGGGTTATCAAAATGCACCTGCATTGGTCTTATCCAACTGAAATCCCTGAAAACAGGCTTTATTGGACACAGTTTTAAACTCTGTACCTGATGAACTGGAGATCATTTTGTAGTCACAAGAAATTAAGCTATGCAGAACTGTGGAGCCTGCCTCATCATGAGGGTTTAGATGAAAGTGAAGGCTTTAATGGTGATTAATATTCTGAAAAATTAAATTCATCCAGCTTGTTGATTTCTTTCCAGTGACAAATTATTATTGTTTATCAAAAAAGCCCATAAAGTCATTTTGCTTGAAACTCTCCATAGGACCAGCTTTCTGTGGATACCCTAGACTCTGCCAAGGGAGCAGAATTCAAATGATGTGGATCACAAACATCCAACCAATCAGAACAAACTACCTGTTAGTCTTCTGCCTGCACAGCACACAGAAAAATTGGAAAAGTCTTAAACCCAATAATCTGGAAGTTTCTTGGTTCACAAGCAGGCATTTATATGATTCTATTCAAGCAGGCATTTATGTGGTTGTATTTAATCATATTCAAAACAATTTTATTTATATCTAAAATTAAGATGTGACATGTATAATTTGTATACAATATTTATGGTTCATGTAAAATAAATGTAACTTCTTGATTTATCTTAATGGATTTGATGGTTAATATTGATAGGAATCAGGAGATCTGCAGAAAACCTGGAATCATTAACTGTTGATCTGCTAACAGTTAACAGAGGAATTGTATCTTTCAGCCTAGAAGAGAAAACAGTACTGTGAAAATAAAAATTCATCAGAAGCCCTCTGTACCCTGTAAAGTGAATTCCACCAGGTGTCAAAATTTCTGCATAAACTCTTTTTTCACCTAAAATGTGTTTTAAAATCCAAAATTCATAGTAAGGGGTACATACAGAGTGTTGTAAAGCAAAATAATCGTCAAAGAAAACTTTTCTTTCAGATTCATCACTAATCGACCATCGTTATGTATACAAACTCAGAAGATGTGTAGGTTCACTGGTGGTTTAGGATAGTAAACAAAATGGCTACGTTTGTGTTGTTACGACCCCTGGCTCCTATCACCACCAGTGTAAAGAAATCTGTGTTGGTTTTTCTACAATTAACCATTTTACATCAAACCACTCTGAATGGCTTTGCCTACATTTCAACTAGTGAATAATGTGGAAATTTTGAAAAATTGGTGGTATTCCCCTTTATGCGTGGAATAATAGTTCATGGGTTTTTGGGATGCTTATCAGTTAATCAAAGATGCTGTCAACACTACTACCATTAAAAATCATTTGTCTTTTGCATGTACTGTAATTGTTCATGAGCTGATAATAAAATGAATGGGCTGTAAAAAAAGATTATCTTATTTAGCCTATCTGCTCACAAATAAATTGTTTGTGTCATACACGAGAAGATGAGCTTTTTCCCTCCTGAAAGAGTTTCAGTGGCAGCATTACTGACAAAATACACAAATGCAAGGGGTGTAATGAAACACCAGTTGGAATTAAAAAAAAATACATATATTCTGTAGCGTCAGAAGAAAAAGATATAGAAATGAATATAGAATTTAATGGCAAATGCTATTTTGTTGAACAGCCAAATGGAAAACTACAGCTCATCACTAACCAAGTACCCAGATATCAGGCAGGTCACGTGTAGCCATATACTTTCACTCCATGGGAGACACTTTGACCCACTCAACTTTCCCGCAACCCAACACAGAATAGCACAACCAACACTGCTGCATGTGTTAAGCTCACAACAACAACTCTTGCTCCTACTGCGAGCATGGCGCCTATCGAGGCCCTCTTTGCATGGCCGCTTTGCATGGCTGCGCCCACTGGGCGCCTAAGGCAGCTAGGCCAGTGACGTTACTAATTCATATACATTAAACCTTTAGATTCAGTCTGTCATTCAGCTCTGAGATTCATCACTGGCGAACCCTACAATACTCATCAATGCTTACTCTGAAAAAGCTGGGTGGTCCTCTCTGGCTGTACATCAGGAAACACACTGACTATTGTTTATTTACAAAGCCATATGCCATTGTAACCGACAACACATCTATGCTTACTGTAAATAACAGAAACTATCAAACTCATTCCAGTGACTGGGTCATCTTGCCGGTGCCTATAGTATTTACTGAACTGGGTTTTTATTATATTAACTGTTTTAAAATTTTATTTTGTCTTTTTACTGGTTTCTTGTGTTGTACCTTTTAATTTCAACGTATATTACTCTTTTCAGTCCTTAATTCTCTGTTCTAATGCTTGGCTACATTACACATCAGGGTCACTCTCAATGTTCTCAGAAAGCACTCATTTTTAAGGTTGACTGAGTTTAACATATTGGAAAAAGATAATCATCAAATATGTCCCATTACTTTTGCCCTGGTAAATAAATTAATTGTGTAATTGTGTGTTAAAATGTGTGAAAGTGTGCTCTCTGTAGCAGGTATGTTAACGTAGTTTCACTTAGAAAATCAACAAAACATGTGATTTGACCAAGACCCCAAACTTTCTCTTTCTCTTTCTCTGACTGTACGTGCAGAAATGGCATCTGCGCATGCGTCGAACTGAAGCCCCTGAGAGGTTGCGTCCCAATACAAGCGGCAGTACTTGTGCCTTATCTGTAGCAAATGGCTTCACTACATAAATAGGCAGACCCTGACTAGCACGTGGATCCACATCGCTACCAGATCAAGGATAACAGACAGGAAAGGAAGTTTCTTTCAACTGTTGGGGCACAGGCAGCTGTTCGTGGGGGCGGAGGGCGTGGCGTTCCACTTGTTTATGCGACCGGACAGAGAAAGACTCACGCGAGCTCACAGACTCGACTCGACGATATGTTTCTGAGCAAGTAGCTTTATGTTCTCGTGATCGATATTTTACTATCAGACAGGCTGGAGCATGCAACCTCTGCACCCGTGAAGCTTCTCCTGAACACCTCACTGTAGCTTTAAACTAACGGGAAAGGAAACATGTCGAGCACGATCAAAGAGCTCACTTTGAACTACGATCCGGTTAACGAGACCAACACCTTTACGAATGGCGACGTTCTTCAGGGGCGAGTTTTTCTGGACGTGGCCAAAGAGGCGAAGATCGACTGTTTTTACATTAAATGTAAAGGGGACGCGGACGTGAGCTGGACGGAGAGGCGTAATGATCGGACCCACACGTACCATTCCCACGAGAGATACTTCAAACTGAAGCAGGTTTTTATTCAGGACCCCTCCAAACCTGGTGAGGAGCGTGTTACCCTAACGTTACTGCTGCTGTCAGGCCTTAACACAGGGCAGCTTAAACCGACAGCATAGCTATGAGTTACTTAGGCTTCTCATAACTGGAGAAGTTTTACATTAAAATAAAACAATTTATGCCTCAAGCTGCACGATTTGAGTGAAAAACTGATAATGAATCCACATATTCTGCTTAAACTCCAAAAATACTGTAAGATCCTATAAGATATCCATAGTGCTGTGCAATACTTCTGTAAGAAGTGTTTTTATATGCTATAATATTCTTGCCTACAGTACATGTGTTGTTTCCAGTACTGGAAGACGCTGACATGAATGCTGTAGAAATTCCTATATATATATAGGAAGTGTGCTTTGCGTGTGCTTTGCTACACCCCCCACCCCCCATATATATATATTATATATATATATATATATATATATATATATATATATATATAGATGTGTGTGTGTGTAGCAGAGTACACACAAAGTACACTGGATTTTATCTTCTCTTATGCAACTGCACCTTAGAGAGATAAACGAGACAAAGACTTACTTATATTCTGTTGTTTTACTTCTGCAGCAAATAATGAGCCAAACGTCATTATAACAACTGGGGAGACCTGTAAGTATAACCTTATTATGTTTACAGCATCCAGTTAGCAGCCAAATGGTTTATGTAAATTGAAAGGTGAACATTTTCAAAAGCTGTTGGAGGAAGCTTAACAAATCAGGTTGCACAGTGTACTGTTTCAGCCGTCACATTGAAGGCTACTTTGGTTTGGCATCCGTTAATGTAGCCTAGTCACAGCTTGTTTTCTCTAATTTTGTTCTTTTTATCTTTTATTTCTAGACGGTAATGTGGTTAGGCCCGGAAGACACGTTTATCCATTTAGCTTTCAGCTGCCCCATGGGTGAGTAGTGATTCTCAAATGTCTTTTAAATACAATTTCAGCACTTTGCATTTTAGATTAAGTTCTCGTTAACTGTACGTCATGCTCATAAGGCTGCATGACACACATAAGCATGCCATAAGCAATTGACATGAACCTGCATAAACATTTATAAGGGCTTACAAAAGGCATTGTCTGTCATAAAGGCTACTTATGTCAACTTCGATGTCAAGTTGACATAAGAGGTGACACTGGTTTTCTGAAATTTGGCTGTGTCATGGGACTTTTTTGGGTGAAATGGCATAGCATGTCAGTGTGTATCACAGTGACAGTGCTGATCATGTGCCTAAATCTTAAACATACTGAAATATAACTCACTATGCAGAAGGACCACATAAAATGTTCACATTTGTTTAACCAGCCTGACTTGCAAGCTTTGTTATATTGTCAGCATTATGTCACTGTCACATACACAGAGCTACTAATGTCTGTCATTTCACCCCAGGCAGTGTCGTGACACAACCTAGTATCAGAAAAATCAGACAGAGATGTTATGTCAACTTGACACCACAGTTCACAGATGCAACCTTTATGAAAAATGACACCTATCGGAATAAGTGTTTAAATGTTTCCATTTCAGTTGTAATGAAGGGCTTATGTAGGTGTCATGTAGCCTTATCAACATGACCTACAAGAAGGTGTTGCTGTTCTTGCTTTAGTCCCATGATGTTAATCACAATGTCGTATAAACACATAAACACTGCTGTGAAATAATGATACTGGGCCACTCCTTGCCACTCTTTGCACTTCTTTTGAAAAACACTCAACCTCAGCTAGGTTAGCCACAATTAGCCGTTCCCTAGCAATGCACAATTTAAATTGCAGAAACGTTTTGAGAAGTTTGAGCATAGCATTGTACATTTAGTGAATAAATGATTTGTTTGGCTACAAGCTTTGGTTTAAACTGTGGTGCATTGGTGCTAGCTGTGTAGCCTTTAGCATGCAGACTAGAAAGCTAGCACAATAATGTAATGAAGTTTAATCAGCAGTCATGTATAACAGATGGGGCAGTCAGCTACCATAAATCCAGGGTGAGCATAGCAAATTGAATGTTATAATCTTGAAATAAGCATTTTGTTAGTATTTTGTTATTGCTTATATAAAAAAAAAACTGTGTTCACCTTTTTGTGGTTTAAAAGGGAAATGTGTCCACACTTGTGTTCACTTGATCCCTTGTCCCTACAAAAACTAGTAATGGAACAGCCCTTAATATGGCCTCAGATGTTCTTCCGAGGAGAAATGGTGAGGCCAAGTGAATGAGGCCATGTTAAAGCCTGTATTGAAGTGGGCAGATAGTTCTTGTAAGCTAGACCAAAGCATTTGAAAGACCTAGGTGTTTTGGAAGTCTCTGGGTTGAAATTGAAATAGGGATAGTTGTGAATTTACTTTGCTATATTGGATTTAGTATCTTCTTGAACAGAGTTTGAATGACTGGAGGTCTCCATTAACCACGGTATAAGAAATATTGTATCTGTTTGTACAAGGTGTGTATGTCACAAAACTAGAGTGAATGTTGATTTTACTAAGACTACTTTTTCAGGTGAAGGTCTTAGAAAGTTCTTACGATACCCACTTTGGACTGCATGTACAGCCCTCCGGCCACCTACCCAATAACTGTTTACCATGTCAACATTGTAGATATACACTGTATGTCCGATAGTTTGTAGCCATCCACTCTTTTTTCCGCAGTCAAGGGTATAATTTGGCAGTTTGTTCCTTCTTTGCTGCAGTAACAGCCTCTGCTCCATTAGGAAGACTGCGCTAGATACTGAAACACTGCTATGAGAATTTGATTGCATTCAGCCATTAGAGAATTAGAAAGGTCAGCTACTGATGTTCTGGATCACAAATGCCACTCCAACTCATCCCAAAGGCATTGGCTGGAGCTCCATTTTTCTTGTTAATGTCAGCCCAGTTCTACAGACTTCACATTATGCTAACTACACTTCTGTTTTAGACTTCTCTTGTTTAACTTGTGGGAGGTTACTGTGACGGTATACATGTATGTTACACAATGAGACAGTTTTAAAGAACCAAAGAAGGTTGTCTATGGTGTCTTGAATATCCCTCCCTAGTAAAATGTGTGCTCTGTCCAGGATTATTTTGTAACATTAAGAATTATTTATAATCAAGTATCAAATAATTTATCTTTGGATATTTTAATGCACAAGTATTTATGCTGTATTCTAAATTGCAGGAATATGCCACCGTCTTTTAAAGGATATTATGGGTCAGTTAAGTACATTCTGGAAGTCAGACTGGATCGTTCGTGGAAGATGGACCGCACTGCGAAAGCAGAAATCAACTTTGTCCCAAGGATTGGTGCTGGTGTTAATTCAGTGGTATGTGCTCAGTTGTTTTATTTATGTTTTTTCCTCTAGGCCTGTCTGGTTTACTGTATCTATAGTGGTAGGCGTTCTTGCAGACTACTTGTCTCAATATTCCCACTACGGCCTTGTTCATAGACAATAATGTAACAGAAGTAAGATTCCACAACGAGTGTTATGTAGTGTACTGCAGCTCTGCATGCTAACCCTGCCTGAAAGTTCAATAGTAAACACTGATATTCTGTTGTCTGCATGCCAAAGAGTGAATGTCTAGTTTTACAAGAATGGAAGGCATTGGAATACAATTTAGATTAGATAACTGAATGCTGTTTTCCTCACTTGTTTTGAGATTTTCTAAATTCCAGATTATTTGTTTAGGTCTATCATTACAAAGGATCATTGTTAGATTGTCCATTGGAGGGGAAGTGAAACAGAAAATAAATGACTTCAACAGCAGAACTTGCCCAGCAGGGCTGTAGCCAAGAGGTAGCCAAGCCACTCTTCTGGCTACCTCAGTTAAAAAAAATGAGATAGTCCACCATCAGTAATAAAGCAGTCACCAGAGAAAAGTTGTCTCAACCAACCCAGTGGGAACAGTTATGTTTACAATGCAAATTTGACATCAGGGCAGTTACCAATAATCTCGCTGTGCTCAATAATCAGTACAGCTCATTGTGATACTACTATTCTGATCAGAAATGTGAGAATGCTGGACAAAACCTTAACGCAGGTCTTGTTCATGCATAACAAGGCAGCAAACATTGGTTTTCTACATTAGGAAAACACAGTTTCTTCATCATTGTAGTACAATGATGTTGTTACGCTCTGTGTGGATCACATGACTGTGGATTGCAAAAATATTTTTTTTAACTAATATAATATGAACTATTCAACAATAAAATCATACCAGATTTTTTTATAGAACCTTATGTTATTTTGTTAATTTGCATAGAATTATGACCACATGAATCGTTTGCCCAGATCACTCTTTTCCACTGTGTGCTGTGGCAGACAGAGCTTCAAGCTGCATTTAAAATTGGGACTTCATAATTGGGTCCTATGCAAAAGTTTGAACACCTCTGGTCAAACTACATGTACAAATGAGTTAGCCCATCCTTTATAGGGAGCAAACTTATTACATTTTCATTAAAAGCTATTAAAAACTTTTAAAAATGTAAAATTTTAGAGCAATATTTTTTATTTATTTGCTGAGTTTAACTGGGGAAAAAAATGAAAAATAAAATATACACTGTGCCATAACTTTTGCACAGGCCTCATTTTATATGCTTTATATTTTTCAATATGTTAAATTCAGTAAATAAATAGAAATTGTACATTAAATGCACAAAAGTGTGTTTTCTGTATGTGTAATTGACCAGGGGTGCCCAAACATTTTACACCCCAGTAGGTAGCAAACTGCTCCTCCTTTCTACGTGACTGCGTTACCTTGGTACTTGGCTGGTTAGTTTACTCTTGTTGTCTTGTATTCTTTTGCATACAGAGTCCACAGAGTGCAGCTATAGACAAAAAGATGAAACTTTTCACCTCTGGAAGTGCCTCAATGAGAGCAACAATTGACAAAATGGGTTATATGCAAGGTCAGTTTACATTATCACTCAAGCATTCAATCTTAACTCTCCTGTACCGGCAAGCCACAGTTCAAACTTTCTAGTTCGTTCAATGCAGTTTTTGACTCTGTTTATTTTTTTTCATTCTTTCTTTCTGAAAGGCGATGTCATCAGGGTTTCCACCAATGTTGATAACTCTTCATCTCGCGAGCTCAAGCTGAAGTACAGTCTAGAGCAACAACAGGTCTTCTATGCACAAGGCCGCTCTAAGTATTCATCAAAAACCATTTTCAAAGTGGTTGGAGATCCTGTCCCAAATGGATCAAAGCAAACAGTCAACACAGACCTGAAAATCCCACCTAACCTGGAACTGACCGTCGCAAATTGCAGTATTATCAAATTGGAGTACATACTTAAGGTACCAGTATTTTCTTTCCTTTATAAAGCTAAATGACTTTAAGTCAATATGAATCTCAATAAGGATATAGTGAAGACTAAAATGTATGTTCTTGTACATATCTCAACTTTTTTGGGCAGATGATAACTCTAGTTGTACACTAAAAAGTATTATTTTGATTGACAGCTTTTCAGTGAGTAGTTGTTCAATACAAGGCTGAAAGGATCCATTTTATGTATATTATAGTGATTGTGGAATCAAATGCATAGGAAACTTAATGTAAAAGCAAGGTTACTCATTGATGTAGTCTATTTAATTGCAACATCAATTCATCCACATTAAAGTGCTATTTAGGAAACTAGAAACTTTAATCTTGCAACTCTTATGCGTTTCTTCTGATTTTTTAGGTCTATTTGGATGTCCCCTATGCAAGTGACCCAGAGATCAAATTTCCAGTGTTTATTTATCCTGCAGGCCAGGTTCCCTGGCAAAGCCCACCAAGCTTTCAGCCCTATGGGCCCAATCCTCCACCCCAGGCTGCCTTTGGGCCCAGTCTTCCACCTCAGGCTGCATTTGGGCCCAATCCTCCACCCCAGGCTGCATTTGGGCCCAGTCCTCCACCCCAGGCTGCATTTGGGCCCAGTCCTCCTGGTGCTGCCTTTGGACCAGCTCCAGGACTTTACCCCAGCCTTTACCCTTCACCTGCGTATCCACAGCCAGCCAATCCAGAAGCTCCTCCTTCCTATACAGACGTCTATCCAAATCAAAATCAAGCAGTTCCAGGATTCCAGTCACCTCCATCAGCTCCATCCTTCAATCCTCCTCCATATTCTGCTATGGGATATCCAGGTCCCTCTGCGCCACAGCAGAATCCAGCACCAAGTGCTCCAGAGTTCTGTCCAAATCCATCTCACCCACCCTATAGTCAAGCAGGAGGTCCCCCTGGATATTGGCCAAATTCAGCCAATCCAACCAACCAAACAGAGCCTTATCCAACTAAACCACCAGAAGAAAAACATGCATAATCAGACGTGCCTTTGAGTTCTCTGTGTGACGAGATGATCATCATGCAGTCATGAGCAAATGAGAACATTATGGTGCTTGCTTCACTGTGACAGTTTTTTCTTAATTGACGGCATAATATTGCATCTTTAAAAGTTAACATCAAGAAGCATGTAGGTTCAAGTCATTAATGTTTATGAATGTTGCTTGTTTGAGAGGTGGAACGAAGGACTTTAATGTACTTGATGCATAATGAAAAGCTATTACAGTGCCTTTAGCTAGTATGTCAAAAATGTCTATTGTTAATCTATATAAATATCTTCTATCTGTATCTTTTGTTTATAAGGATTTAACCCCCTTTTATATACCTCAGCATGATTACATTTTAACTACATTTTAACTACATTTTAATTACATTTTAATTACATTGTATGCTCATCTTTAAGCTAAGCAGTACTGTGCAAAAGTGTCAGGCATAAGAAAAAATGTGAAACGATCTCAGCAGTAAGTGTGTTTTGCCAGTAAACACACTTTATAACATTATAATAAATACAAATAAAAATAAACACATTAAACATGCTTTTTTTGTATAATTTTTTTTGTATAAATGCTTACTGTCCAAATAAATATCTTTATATATTTAGACATTTGTATGTTACTATACACACTCTCCAGAACATTAACATTTAGATGCTTCAGACTTAACAAATCATGCAAAGCTACTTGTGCCCTTAGATAGTACTTATAAGAAAATGACCATTTTAAATAGCAGAACGTTTAGGCACCTGAGATTAGGTTAGAAATTTAAGAAGGCCATTTACCTGGGCAGAAAGCATGAATAAGTTTACCTAGTTTTAAATAATGTTTGTTTATTCAGTGTTTATTAATAACACCTTTTGAGGGCAGTGGTTTAATGTTTGCTTATTCTATCCTTTAGAGGGCGGCAGTGAGTAATGTTTGTTTATTCGATGCTTATTAATAACACCTTTAGAGGGCGGCTGTGAGTAATGTTTGTTTATTCAGTGTTTATTAGTAACACCTTTAGAGGGCGGCAGTGAGTAATGTTTGTTTATTCGATGCTTATTAGTAACACCTTTAGAGGGCGGCAATGAGTAATGTTTGTTTATTCAGTGTTTATTAGTAACAACTTTAGAGGGCGGCGGTGAGTAATGTTTGTTTATTCAGTGTTTATTAGTAACACCTTTAGAGGGCGGCAATGAGTAATGTTTGTTTATTCGATGCTTATTAATAACACCTTCAGAAGGCAGCGGTGAGTAATGCTTGTTTATTCAGTGTTTATTAATAGCACCTTTACAGCAAAGTGGTTTGCGCAAGAACAAACAAGAAAACATGTTATTTTGTGTGTTATTGATCCAAACACTACACACTGTTTATGAGGTCTTTGTCAGATTTGTTCAGTCGTGTCACATATACTTTTGAAACGGTAATTTAACCTTCAGACAAAGCAGCCCTAAGAACAGAGAGGGACAAACTGTCACGATCTATCAGAGAGGCAAAGCGCACACACGCTCAGGGAATTCACAGAAGCTTACAAAATACCGGCGACACACGGTGCATGTGGCAGGGCATTCAGGCCCTCAGTAACTACAGGAAAACATCACTCTCCTGTGACAATGATGTCTCCCTTCCAGATGCACTGAATGACTTTTACGTACAGTTCGAAGTATGGAATAACGTGGCAGCGAGAAAGACCACCCCTCAACCCAGCGGCCAGGTGTCTGTCCACAGCTGACATGAGGAAAACTCTGTGCAGAGTCAACCCACTGAAGGCTGACAATGTTCCTGGCTGAGTGCTCAGAGAATGTGCAGACCAGCTAGCGGATGTTCTCACAGAGATCTTCATCCCTTCTTCATCTGGAAGAAGGTATTGCAGCATTCGGGCCCTCACAGCCAGACTGCACAACAGTTTCTTTCCACAAGGATCAGATTCCTTAACTCCAACAGTCTGAACTGACAGACACCCACACAGACACACACACATATACATAAAAATATGACTCCATCTCACTCCACACATCTTGAAACTCCAAAATGAGGTCTGTGACACTGTATTTAAGTTTGCTATGGCATTTCACACTGAAATACTTCACTTAATATAATTCATATCTGACTACATTTTATTTTTTAGCAATATTGGCTGCTAAAACACTCTATCAACCAAACACTATATTCCATTGCTGTTGTTCTGGTTGCTCCCTCAGTGACTGCTATGCTCATCTGTGCTAGGCTGCCTGGTGATATGTCATAGTATGTTACATCCTGTTTTGCACAATCTGCCTACTCTCAGTCCGTGTACTGCCTGTGTTCTGCTTTTGTATTTGTGTACCTGTGTTTGTATTTATTGCACTGTATTGTCTGCACTGTGTATATTGTATTGTTTTGCACCGGTGTTCCTGTGTTGCAACTTGGTCCAGGAGGAATGTTGTTTCGGTTCACTGGGTACCTGTAAAGAGCTGAAATGACAATAAAGCCTCTTGAATAGCTCGAATAGCTTGAATAGTGTTTCTCGTAACCTGCCAGTTTTCTTATGAAAGCTTTCCTGAGTCCGGCTCCAGGATCCTCTCTCTTTGAATGAGGAGAGACCAAAACGCTCGAAAATGAAAGTCAAATTAATTTGAAATCATTGATAAAATCTGACAAAACCCTCATTAGCAGGTTGCGGCGTAACCGGAAAGCTGATTGGCTCATTTTTTTTGAAGGGCGGGACTTCCCGTAAAAAGACGAGCGTTACGAGCTTCATTTTTCATATCTCAGCCGGTGACTGGGCTCCTCCTTTACAGTGTCTCTGGCTTTACTAGAAACTCGAGACAGGGATAAGTTTATAAGGAAATGGTTTGTGGTCTCGTGATTTATATTTCACAATCAGACATGCTGGAACTCACAACCTGTGAAGCTTCTCCTGAACACCTCACTGTAGCTTTAAACTAAGGGAAAGGGAAACATGTCAAACACGATCAAAGAGCTCACTTTGACCTACGACCCGGTTAACGAGACCAACACCTTCACGAGTGGCGACGTTCTTCAGGGGCGAGTTTTTCTGGAAGTGGCCAAAGAGGTGAAGATCAACTACTTGTACATTAAATGTAAAGGGGACGCGGACGTGAGCTGGTCAGAGGGGAGTGGTGATGACGAGAAGTCATACCGCGCTCACGAGAGATACTTCAAACTGAAGCAGGTTTTTATTCAGGACCCCTCCAAACCTGGTGAGGAGCCTGTCACCCTACTGCTACTGTCAGGCCTTAACACAAGACAACATAGTGTTAGATCTTCATATCTAGAGAAGTAGCTTATTCCAAAAGGCATTGTTTGTCATAAAGGATGTTCATGTCACTGATTTTTTCTGGCATTGGGTTGTGTCATGAGTGGGTGAATGGTATAGCATGTGTATATACACACACACACACAAATATATATATATATATATATATATATATATATATATATATATATATGTGTGTGTGTGTGTGTGTGTATGTGTTTATAACACTGTTTATGCCCCTAAAAGTTCCTATAAGATTTCCATAGTGCTGTACAATGCTTATATAAGAGCATGATAACATGATATATGTGGGTGTTTAGTTAGATGGCAAAGTGCACTGTTTTTTTTCTTCTCTTTCGTATCTGCACCTCAAAGAGATAAACGAGATAAAGATTTACTCACATTCCATTTTATTGTCTTACTTTTACAGCAAAAAAAGAACTAAACGTCATTATAACAACTGGTGAGACCTGTAAGTATAACCTTATTATGTTTACAGCATACTGCTCTTTGGTTTAAGGAATTGTAAAATTTCCATGAGCAGTTGCAGGAAGCTTAACAAAGGCACAGTGCACTGTTGGAAGATGTTTCACGTTGTTGCTGCTCAGCAATCGCATTGAAGGCATCTTGGCATCTGTTAATGTAGCCTATTTACAGCTTGTTTTTGTTTTTTTCTTGTATTTCTAGATGGTAATGTGGTTCGGCCCGGAAGACATGTTTTTCCATTTAGCTTTCAGCTGCCCAGTGGGTGAGTAGTGATTCTCAAATGTCTTTTACTTTCAGTTTCAGCAGTGCTTTGCATTTTGGAATTAGTTCTTATGGTAACAAGAGTTGGGCGATATGGCAAAGTGTAATATTATGATACCTCAATAAGTTTTTTACAATACATAATACGTCATGATATTTATTTTATTCTTACATTTTTGACTATATTCAGCATTTCACACACTGTGTGGACAGGACTAATCAAACAGGACTTATTTTGCTCTTTTTAATCAAACAAGCAATTGGGAAGTTTTTTTAGGTACTGACAAAATATCCACTATATGCACAGAAAAGCATATTATGACATATTGAGATGTAATCTATTAAGATAATGTTAAATATTATCATATTGCTCAGCTCTAGTAACACTGAACTGTAAGTCAAAAAGGGCCATATTAAAAAATCTCACCAAATCTGTTGGAATGCTTGTGTTTTTATTTCATTTTGAAGTAACATTTTGCTGTAACCTGAACTGGTCTTTGTTTATTCAAAATACACCAAAACATTAACAGCAAAATATAGTAAACCTTACATATTACATCAATACATGAAATATTTAAAAAATGTGTGGAATTGGGGTGACACTGATTTTTTTTTTGGTTTTGGGTTGTGTCATGACACTTTTTCAGGTGAACTGACATAGCACATAATGTAATAACAACTGACTTTGTAACTTAGTGTATGTCACTGTGACATAATGCTGATGATGTGACAGCTAAAAATAAATAAATTTAGAATTACATTTAGTATGTGTAAATCTTATATATACTAAAATGTAACTCACTGTGCATAAGAGCTACAGAAAATGTCCACTTATGCTCAACCAGCCTGACCTGCAAGCTGTGTTATATTGTCAGCATTATGTCACTGTGACATAATTGGAGCTAATAATGTCTGTCATTTAAATCCAGGCAGTGTAGTAACACAACCTAATATCAGAAAAATCAGACATAGATGTTATGTCAACTTGACACCAAATTTTACAAATGCAACCTTTATGACAAATGAGACCTATCGGAATAAGTGTTTAAATGTTTATGCAGGTCCATTTCAGTTATATAATGTAATGAAGGGCTTATGCAGGTGTCATGTAGCCTTATCAACGTGAGCTACAGGAAAGTGTTACCATTCTTGCTTTATTTCCATTATGTTGTTAATTACATTATCATATGTAGACACTGCTGTGAAGTAATAATATTGGCCAAAATATGCAAAAGTCACAAGGTGATTTTAAGACATAGACCCAGTTTAATACGTTTAACAGGTCCACACCAGTTTCGACTTACCACTTGAAAGTGCGTCACACCTCATTTGGAACAGACTAGACCTCAGTTAACACAGACACTCCTTTGCTAATCAGCTGGCCATGCAAAATTAAGAATGCAGAACAATTTTTGAGAAGTTTGAACATAATATCATACATTTGGTTAATAATTGCTTTGTTTGGCTATAAGCTTTGGTTTAAAACTGTGGTGCATTGGCGTTAGCTGTGTAGCCTCTGTGTAGCAGAGTAACATAATGAAGCTTTATTGGCAGTCATGTATGATGGAGTAGTTTGCTGCCATAAACCCAGGGTCAACATAGCAATTTGAATATTGTGTTTTGAAATAAGCATATTAAAGTAAATGTTTTAACATGATGATTTGGGTTGATGTTCTTCAGCATTTATGGGTTTATTTTGCTCTTATTGTAGAGGGCAGGGCTGGAAGAACGTCCTGGGGAGTGTTTGTGAGCTGACAGAGAGAGAGAGAGAGACGAGTGAGATTCTGAGTCAGAGAGCGAACGGTTAGAGAAAAGCTTTGCTTACGTATGGCATGGCTATGGCCGAACAGCTGCCACAACTGGTTTACTGCCACAAGACCACCACAGAGGTAATATTTGGGTGGTGAATCATTCTTAGCACTGGAATGACACTGTCATAGTGGTGGTGTGTTAGTGTGTTACTCTGGTACAAGTGGATCAGACAGTGTCACTGCTAGACTGAGAACAGTGTCCTGTGACCCCTGATGGAGGACTAGAGGATGACTAACACAAACTGTTCAACAACAGATGAGCTCCTGTCTCTGACTTTACATTTATAAGGTGGACCAACAAGGTAGGAGTGTCTAATAGAGTGGACAGTGAGTGGACACAGTGTTTAGACTCCAGCAGCACTGCTGTGTCTGATCCAGTCATACCAGCACAACACACATTAACATGTCACCACCATGTAAGTGTCACTGCAGTGCTGAGAATGATCCACCACCCAAATAATACCTGCTCTGTGGTGGTCCTGTGGGGATCCTGACCATTAAAGAACAGGGTGAAAGGGGGCTAACAAAGTATGCAGAGAAAAAGATGGACTACACTCTGTAATTGTAGAACTACAAAGTGCACCTGTGTGGCGAGTAGAGCTGATAAAATGGACATTGAGTGTAGAAACAAGGAGGTGGTTTTAATGAAGTGGCCAGTTGGTTTATATCACATAATGAAACAAGTCAGGACCTTAAAAGGTTGTCTCTGGTGTCTAAGTATCCCTATTGTAACTAAAATGTGAGTTCTATCTAGGATTATTGTGTAGCATTGTCAAATGTCAAATAGTTTATCTTTGGGTGGTTTAATGCACATTTATTTATGCTGTCTTCCAAAAATGCAGGAATATGCCACGATCTTATAAAGCATTTCATGGGTCAGTTATGTACATTTTGGAAGTCAGACTGGGTCGGTCATGGAAGATGGACCGCACTGTGAAAACGGAAATCAACTTTGTCCCAAGGATTGATGCTGGTGTTAATTTAATGGTATGTGCTCAGTTGATGTGTGTTTTATTTATGTTTGTCCTCTCTGCCTGTCTGTAAAAAATGATAGCAGAAATGAAATGAACAATTTTTTTACAGCACCTTGTTAAAAATAACTTTCTGCTTTTCCAGAATAAAAACTACATTTAAATATAGAATAGAATAGACTTATGACCACATTAATCGTTGCAGTTCAGACTGCAAAGAATGTCAAATTACATGTAATCAATCAGTCAATCAATCAACCAATCAATCAACTAAATTAAATTGTTTTTTTTGTTTATATTATATATATATATATATATATATAGCACCAAAATGGTTCTTCTATTGTAACAAGCCCGACATCGTAACAACAGAAGAACGCTTTTTGGTGCTATATTCAAAAAGCCATCTACAGCACATTCTCCATCAGTCTGAAGAACCTTTTCACAATTCAAAGAAAGCTTTTATTATGCAAATGGTTCCTTGGGTGTTCATGGTTCTATATAGAACTGCTGTCTTTACTAAAGAGCCCTTGAAGAATCATCTTTTTTAAGTGTGTAGCTTGTAGGTGGCGCTGCCCACATGCTGCTTCAAATCAAATGTTTCTAGAAGTCTAATGAATTCTAATACTTTACTGTCTGATGGGTTGTCAGTATGCAGGCAAGTTAAAGTCCCCACAAAGAATTTTATCATAGTTTGTGGATAAAAATTATATTAGTTTTTCAAATTCTGCCAAACAATTACTCTTTGGCTTGGGAGGTCTGTATATTACAATTAATAACACAGTGTCACTAAAAAGGTTGATTGCAACATACTCTTAAATTTGTCACTTTTCTGCACAATTACAGCAAAATTTCTATTGTGGAAAAAATAAAACTTAAATAAATAAAAAATATACAATGTGCCATAACTTTTGCCCAGGCCATGTTTTTTTTTTTCAATATGTTAAATTCAGGAAATAAACAGAAATTGTGCTCTAAAGTTGCAGGAAAATGACATGTTTAAGTTTGCTCCTCCTTTTTTATAATACTGCTGATGTAATTTCTTTTTACTTTGCTAACTGGCTAATTAGCATGGGCTGCTCAGCTAGAAAAAAAACAGCAATGTACCCTGGTTCTAATTCTGCACCTGAAGCTTATGCCAAAGTAATTATTCACAAGTTAATGCATGTTATGCTTGCACTGTTCAATAAAAGTCATCATATGCATTCCTATTACAAAATCCACTCTTCGTTGCACCCTACTCTACTTGTCATTGTGTAAGTGGCGCTTTTGTAACACACATGTTGTGCATTTGAGGCAAAGCTGGGGAGGGCATGTGACAGCAACAGCAACAAGGCCATGATTTTGACATGTGTGGCATTCTTTATATTGTACACATAAAGAAAATTCTCTCAAGCTAAACATGGAATGCTTTTTAGAGCTGTTTAGTTTACTCTTGTTGTCTTTTGTTGTTTTTTGCATACAGAGCCCACAGAGTGCTGCTACAGACAAAAAGATGAAGCTTTTCACCTCTGGAAGCGCCTCAATGAGAGCAACAATTGACAGAATGGGTTATATGCAAGGTCAGTTCACATTATCACTCAAGCATTCAGTCTAACGCCTCATGTAAAAGCCACAATTCAATTCATTTTTTAGTTAATTCAATGCAGTTTTTGACTCTGTGTATTTTGATGCTTTCCTTCTGAAAGGTGATGTCATCAGAGTTTCCACCAGTGTTGAAAACTCCTCGTCTCGCGCGCTCAAGCTGAAGTACAAACTACAGCAAATACAGGGCTTCTATGCACAAGGTTACTCTAAGCACTCATATAAAACCATTTTCAAAGTGGTAGGAGATCCTGTCCCAACTAGATCAAAGCAAACAGTCAACTCAGATCTGAAGATCCCACCTAACCTGGAACTGACCGTCGCAAACAGCAGTATTATTAAATTGGAGTACATACTTAAGGTACCAGTATTTTCTTTCCTTTATAAAGCTAAATGCCTTCAGCTTCTAACTTCAAGCTTCAGTTCAGTTTGTGTTACATTTAACCTCTAGATGCAAAGCTCAAAAACAAGGTTTAGATTGCAGCTACAACCTCAGGGCCTGCTTCCCCAGGCTTTAATTAAGCCAATAGTAATCTCAATATGGATATAGTGAAGACTAACATCATATGTTCTTGCACAAATTTTAACTTTTTTGGGCAGATGATAACTTTAGTCGTACACTAAAAAGTATGATTTTGATTGACAGCTTTCCAGTGAGCAGTTGTTCAAGACAAGGCTGAAATTACCTGTTTTATGTATATTATAGTGATGGTTCTTTGCAGTTTGCAGAGTTTGAACTTGAGGTTAAAACAAAAGCCAAACTTGCCCAAACTACTATACGTCCTGCATTGTGGATGGTGGAATTAAATGTATAAGAACTGTCTGTTATTTATGTAATGTGGTGTTATAGATTGTGTCTTGCATTCACTGATACACTGATCAGACATAACATTATGACCACCTCCTTGTTTCTCTGCTCATTGTCCATTTTATCAGCTCCACTTACTATATAGGTGCACTTTGTAGTTCTACAATTACAGACTGTAGTCCATCTGTTTCTCTGCATACTTTGTTAGCCCCCTTTTACCCTGTTCTTCAGTGGTCTCGACCCTCACAGAGCAGGTACTATTTGGGTGGTGGATCATTCTCAGCACTGCAGTTACACTGATGTGGTGGTGGTGTGTTAGTGTGTGTTGCGCTGGTACAAGTGTATCAGACACAGCAGTGCTGCTGGAGTATTTTATGGAGTTTGTGTATCTTTGAAAATGTAATGTAAAAGCAAGGTTACTCATTGATGTGATCTATTTAATTGCAACATTCATTCATCATAAAAATGCTAGCTTTTAGGAAGTCAGAAACTTTAATCTTGGCCTGTAATTCACTAATTAACTCTAATATCACTCTTCTGATTTTTCTTAGGTCTATTTGGATGTCCCCTATGCAAGTGACCCAGAGATCAAATTTCCAGTGATCATTCTTCCTGTAGGCCAGCTTTTGGGTCCCCAGCAAAGCTCACCAAGCTTTCAGCACAATGATCCCTATCCTCCACCCCAGGCTGCATTTGGGCCCAGTCCTCCTGGTGCTGCCTTTGGACCAGCTCCAGGACTTTACCCCAGCCTTTACCCTTCACCTGCGTATCCACAGCCAGCCAATCCAGGAGCTCCTCCTCCTTCCTATACAGACGTCTATCCAAATCAAAACCCAACAGTTCCAGGATTCCAGCCACCTCCATCAGCTCCATCCTTCAATCCTCCTCCATATTCTGCTATGGGATATCCAGGTCCTTCTGCGCCACAGCAGAATCCAGCACCAAGTGCTCCAGAGTTCTGTTCAAATCCATCTCACCCACCCTATAGTCAAGCAGGAGGTCCCCCTGGATATTGGCCAAATTCAGCCAATCCAACCAACCAAACAGAGCCTTATCCAACTAAACCACTAGAAGAAAAACATGCATAATCAGACGTGCCTTTGAGTTTTCCATGTGACGAGATGATCATTATGCAATCAAGAGCAAATTACCATGGAGAACATTATGGTGCTTGCTTCACTGTGACAATCTATGATGAAGTTTTGATTTCAATTTGATTCTCATTGATAACATGAATTTGATTTATGAATGTTGTCTTGTTTCAGAGGTGAATAGAGCAGCTACAGGAGGACTTCTGTTGTCACATACAGACACAGACACAAATGCTGCACAGACTTTAATGCACTTGAATCATGAAAAGCCACTAAAGTGCCTTTAGATAGTAAATCTAAAAAATGTCTATTGTATATCTATATAAATATGATTTATCTTTGTTTATAAGGATTTTACCCACATTCATATACCTGGTATGACTCAATGAAGTTGAATTGTAACTGTTCTGTGTCACTAAATTTGTTTTGTATGCTCATCTTTAAGCATATACAGTTCTGTGCAATAATCTCAGGCACTCAGGAAAATTCTTTGAAGGTATTTATCTGGGCAGCAAGTGTGTTTTTTTTCCAGTAAACACCCTATGTAATATCATAATAAATAGAAACAAAAATCAATACAGTAAAAGGTAACAAGAATTTTTAAACACAGATTTGTTTTCTGACTTCTTGCTGTACTCCACCCACTGTATCGGTTTGTTTGGTTTCACCAGCAGCACATCTGATTTCATTTAATGAAGGATTTCACACATTTTTTTATATAATATAAATGCTTACTGTCCAAATAAATAGCTTTACATATTCATATCAAATTCATATATTTTTCAAAAACAATAAAATTCCTCAGTTTGAACATTTCATATATTGTCTTTGTACATCTGATTTACTCATGTAGATGTACACCAGTGTACACCAGCATTCCAAATGTTTGGAATCACTTCATAATAATTGCTCTGGTATTATATTGAATTTGGACTTGTTAAGCAACAAAGTACACTGACAACCACTCACAGATGAAGCGAATAACACTGATTATTTTGTAACAATTGGGCATGTCAAGGCCTGGGAGATATTAGATGGTAACCGAACAGATGTTGTCATAGTTGATGTGTTGGATGTGTGAAGACCTAAGTGACTTTGACAAGGGCCAAATTATTATGGAGACTCTCCAAAATGGCAAGGTTTGTGGGGTGCTCCTGGTCAGTGGTGAATACCTACTGACTGGTCCGAGGAGGGACAAATTACGACCTGCCAACAGGGGGTATGGCTGCCCAACAAGGGGAAGTGATGGCACCAGGATGCACTGTGGGAAAAAGACAAGCCAGTGAATGGAGCGTAATGTTCAGGGCAATGTTCTGCTGGGAAATCCTGAGACTGAGCATTGATGTGGATGTCTTTTTTGATACATGCCACCTATCTAAACATGTTGAGAACCAGGTACATCCCTTCATGGCAATGGTTTTCCCTGGCGGCAGTGGCCTCTTTTAGCAGGCTAAACTGCCCTGGCATACTGCACACATTGTCCAGGATCGGTTTGAGTAACATGATGAACAGTTCAAGGTGTTGCCCTGACTTTCAAATTCCATAGATCTCAATCCGATTAAGCATCTGTGGGATGTGCAGTGGCACCAACTTGCAACATACAGGACTTCAAGGATCTGCTGCTAGTCTTGGTGCCAGATACCACAGGGCACCTCCAGAAGTCTTGTATAGTCCATGCCTCAGTGGGTCGGAACTGTTTTGGTGGCACACTGAGGACCAACAGAACATTAGGCAGATGGTCATATTCTTAGGGCTCATCTGTGTAAACTGAATACTGTAAGCTAGATGCCAAAATATATTTTAAAAGGTTATTAAATGAAAAATAATACACTGTAATTATTTATTTATTGTAATAAGTTATCTGCCTGAGATTTGATAAGCTTGGTTTGATAATACTTGGTGTTAATTTTATTATATCTTCATTCTCAGTGTTTTACAGCGCAGTCGTCAAGAAATAATCTACAGCTCTGTTTATCATTCATTCATTTTTATAGCTTTCTAGTTGTAGTTTGAGAAGTTGTATAGTATCACAATAGAATCATTTCATGTATATATGTGTTTATTATATTGAAAACAGTCACATTCAAGCTTTTTTTCAAACACTGGAGGTGATTTGTTGAGCTGATTAGGACCAAGTTGAGCAACCACATATAACAGTCTAACAAATAGCCAGGGTACACTTACTTCGATGGAATTACAGTGTAAACAAAAGACATTCATCACCTGTACCAACGCCCTATAAAGTACACATTACCAAAGTTACACAAGAGTGTATGACAACATTATAAGTCACTGAAAATCTGTTAAAAAAAACTCCATTATTTCCCCATAAACCTCAGGATTATTATTCAGTTATTCATTTTAAGGCTTACTATCCAATCATTACTGTGAGGGCCCATCCAGCATATGGGTTAAATGATGAGCCACAACAAAGTGACCCATTTTGAATCCAACTTATTTTGTCCTCAGTCTTCACGCGGGCCCTTTGAGCAGCAGCCCATATGGGTTAAAGATGGGTATAAGACAGGTACAATGTAAAACCATAATGGGTAGTGTATGTTGGGCTTATATGGGCCCTTAGTTTATAGCCCAAGTGGGTTTTACATGGGTACAACATGGGTGCAGACTTGGACCTTCATTGGCAAACTGGGCTGTGGATACCTGGGCCCCTTATGTGCATTATATAACAGGCTCCATGATGGTAGCCCATTTTGGACCTGCCTCCTTTCGTCCTCTGTTTCCATGTGGGCCCCTTGAGCAGCAGCCCATATGGGTTAAAGATGGGTATAAAATGGGTACAGGCTGGGAACTTTGCTGGCAAACTGGGCTGAGGATATTTGGGCCTCTTATGTGCACTATAAAATGGGCCCCCTCATGGTAGCCATTTGAGACCCATCTCATTTTGTCCTTGGTTTCCATGAGGGCCCCTTGAGTGGCACTCCAGATGGGTACATAATGGGTGTATGGTGGGTACAGTGTTGAATTACAGTGGATAGTATGTTGGGTCTATATGCTTTTTGAAGGAAGTTGGATTTTATAGGTGTCTTATGGTAATAGAGTACAACAATCCTATTCTACTGTGGAACTAACATATAATAGGCTACATGTAGTAGAGGAATGGAAGTCTAGATCTGACTACATGTCCTTAAAGTGTAAAGAAAAAAATAAACGGGTTGTCATGTGACCAATGTGCCCTATACATCTACAGCTTGGCGAAAGATCATGAGATCTGAGAACCTGGTTCTGTAAGAATGCAAATCATATTTATTTTACTAATTATGCAGTGCAACTATATGTGCAATATGCAATACTGTACTGTGCACTACTTGTATATAATTTGAATTGAAAACTGGTTTCTTTCGTTCAACACTGTGACACACATTCCCATGAATACCACTGTTTGAAATCGTCCAGCAAGTCTGCACCTGCTTCCAGGCTGGCATTTCTATTTATCTCAGTTAAACATTGAGCATCAGTTGAGATCTGTTTCTATGGAAGACATGTTCTTTTACAATCAAGAAATCTGATCGTGAAAAAGCCCTCCCACGCTGACATTCTTTTCGAATGAATGAATGAAGTCCAGCATCCAAACTCGGCTTACAGCTAAAGTTCTCCACCCTAAACACTGCACCTGAAAGGAAACTCAGGGGCTCAGTTTGAGGAAAGTATGTGATCCTAATGGCTACCCAAATAAGACACCCTTGATTGCTTACTTTCTATGTTGTAATCTCTTAAATGTGAACGGACCTGCCTCCTTATATTGTACATAGTTTACACTGGCTTCTGTGTTTTCAATAGACCTAATCTAGTTATTGTGAAATGATGCTTGCTCATTGCCAGCGGCTTCCTTTATTCAAAATCACGTATTGTTGAATTAAGAGTTAAAAATTAACTCGAATTGTTTGAGCTGGTTTTTAGCTGTGGAAAATGTATGAACAAAATTAATCTACATAATAATACATCATTAAGAGAACATGTTTGAACAAGTTTAGTTCTATCACAATCAGTATAAAGCTTTGTATTTGCAATGCAATTGATTACTGCCAGCCCTGCTGAATCTGAACATTACTTAAATAGAACCTTTCCAGCAATGTGAAGTACGCTAACAGGTCTCACTATGCCATTATAAAAGAATGCTATTTAAATATATCAGTCTGAAAAGGGTTACAAAGCCATTTCAAAGGTTTGAGGACTCCAACGTACCGCAGTGAGAGCTATTATCTCCAAAGAGAGAAAACTTCCCAAAAGTGGGCAGCCTACCAAAATTCCTCCAAGAGCACAGTGACGACTCATCCAGAAAGTCACAAAAGAACCCAGACAAACATGTAAGCAACTGCAGGCCTTGCTCCTCTCAGATAAGGTCAGCATTCATGATTCCATCATTAGAAAGAGGTGTGGTAAAATGATATCTGTGTGAGAGTTGCAAGGAAAAAACGACTGCTAAACAAAGAGGAACATAAAGTCCGATCTCACATTTGCCAGAAAGCATCTTTAGACTGATGAGTCGAAAAACTGAACCTTTTGGAAGACAGGGGTCCTGTGACATCTAGCGTAGCGCTAACACAGCTTTCCACAGCAAGATCATCATACCAACAGTCAAACATGGTGTGACGGTGTGGGGATGTTTTGCTGGCTCAGGTCCTGAGTGGCTTGCCATAACTGATAAAACCATGAACTCTGCTCTTTACCAGAGAATCTTGCAGAAAATCAGTCTGTGATTTGAAGCTCAAGTGCAATTTGGTTATGCAGCAAGATAATAGTCTGAAGCACAAGAGTAAGTCCACCTCTAAATGACTCAAAAGAAACAAAATTCAGGTTCTGGAGGGGCCTAGTCAACGTCCTGACTTCGACCCCATGGAGATGCTGTGGCACCATATTATTTTTGAAATCATGTGGTTGTTCTTAAATCTGATCACTAGAGGGCGATAGCAGCCCATCTTGTGACCCAAACTAAACATGCAATCATTAAAGAGGAAACTTCTTATTAAACATGCACTCATATAAACATTCTGCAGTTTTCATGTCTATAGTAACAACATACTAAGTACGGTGGTACATATTTAGTGGTGTTGACTGCCCACTGACTATAGATAGGCTGTGCTGGGTCCAAGTTAAGTGTGAAAGGCCTGTTATCTACTCAAGGATTTCTTAATACTAATAGTTGAATTTGATGTCTTATTTTAAAAACAGACTTTTTTTAAATTCCTGGAATCCTTTGGTGCAAAAGTCTCCCTCACATGAAACATAAGGCCTTACAGGGGAACACGGATTTTTCATAATTTGATGTGAAATGTTTCATTCTAGAGAAATTTACAGAATCAGAATTGTTCACAGTGGTGGTGACAGGAACCAGATGTCCAGCTCTAAAGACTCCCTCACAAAAAGAACATGAACTGGTTATGAATACGCTGCCTGATGTCTGAGACATTGTTTTACAGAGGTTTGTGATAAAGCTTTGGCCTAAAACATATTTTAATCAATTTATTTTAATCTAATCATGGTGGAGGGATACATGAAGGGTGTTCTAAGGCAAAATAGTCCTCAAAGAAAACTCTTTGTCAAACTTTTTTTTCAATTTTACCACTACTTTACCATCATCAATATTACATATGAAAAAACCCAGAAGACACGTGTAGGTCCACTGGTGGTTTGGATAGTAAGTAAAATGTCTATATTTGTGTTGTGGGCATGGCGACCCCTGGTTCCTTTCACCACCACTGTAAAGGATTCAGAGTCTGTAGGTCTAAATTTCTCTACAAATAAACCATTTCACATCAAACCACTCTGAATGACTTTGTTTATACGTCAACCCCTGAAGATGCAGACATTTTGAAAAATCGGTGGAATTCCCCTTTAAAACGCCCCTTCAACATGCAACAGGTGGGAGCACATGGCAGCATGTAATTTCCAAACAGGTCCCAGAGCGAAGTGACTACCACAAGGTGGCGTTTTAAGTCAGGTCTACAGAGTGCTGCAGCCAGCAAGCACAGCAGAACAGACTGTAAGACTGTGAATGGTGAAATGAAATAAATAAGTATC